CTTCTCACAAGCCGATCCTGAACTCATTCACCAGTATCCCTTCGAGGTTTCTCCTTTGGGCACAGCTCTGTGTTTTGCAAGGCAACACTGAAGAGCCTCCCTGACCCCGCAGACGGTTGCGGTTCTCTTTGGGCTTTCCCATTTCCTCAGTCACGGGGCACACGTCTGCTCCAAGCCCCCAGCATCTCACCCTTCAAGCAGTTCAGCCTTACTCTCCCCTGGAAAGCTGCAAAGCGGGGTGGCGAGTGCGAGCAGTGCTAGAATAGGGCCTGGGGGGGCTGTGGGGTCTTCATCCCCAGAGACTTCAGAACTCACCTGAACACATTCCCTGAGCTACCTGGTCCAGCCGTGAGGCCATCCCTCCTCAGAGCACAGCTGGTTGGAGGTGAGAGCACTCATTCCCAACCAAAAACTTCCCGGGGCTCTACGATTTGCCCATTCTCAGTGAAACCCACCTCTATCCACATCCCCCTTGGCTCTTCCCTGCCAGACAGGCCCACCGTGCTCCTGCAACACTCCCAGAGGGGTTTCTGCTCCCCATTTCTCACCCATCTCTTACCCATCTCTTCAAAGCTACGTCTGTCCTCTCCCCCAGCCCCTCTGAGCACTTCCAACTTCAAAGTTGCCGTTCAAACGTTAACCCTGCATGTTTTAACACAAGCTGGCTGTATCACATCCACCCCCGTTTACAGGGGCACACACCCGTCCTTGCTGCTCCCTTCAATCCCGTTGCCTTCCCCTCCTTGGCCATGGCTTGGGCTGCAGTTCCCACCCACGCTGCTGTTATCGGGGCCCTACACAGCTGAAAGCAATGGAGAACTCAGAGTGTGTTTGAAGCAAGGCAATGCGTTTGCCCACGAAGATAAGAAACCGGTGACTTGGGACAAGGCATGATGATTACATATTAGATTGCACAGCCTGATTGTGCAGGACATCACAGAGCAACTGCGATGAGTTTTCATGCTCAGGACCTGCCCTGGAGCATCTCTGGAAAGCTCCATACCTGAAGACAGAAAGCTCCTGTCTTAGCATTGACTCACAGCTGCTGCTGCCAGCAATTCCCCCGTCCCACGCCTGGCATTTCTCACTGCCCTGCATCACCCTTGGCTCCACCACCAGGCAGGACCTGTTCTCACTGCACAAAGGGCTCCACAACCCCACGTGTGTGACATCAGTGGAGGCACCTGACTCATGCAAGGGCATCGGCAGCGTCACCGCTACCTTCGCAAGCAAAGACGAGGGGACGGGAGTGCACCGGGAAGAGGTTGACAGATGCACGTACCTGCCTGCTCTTCTTGACCCAGTTGCTGTCTCTCCAGTACTGCTTTCATGCCTGGACGTGCCTGCCAGTCAAAATGGATTAGCTAGGGGATTAAACCTCATGTATAGGCGTCTGTTAACCAAGAGCAAGGCATGAGAAGCCATCCCTCCCTGCGGACCAGCAGCTCCAGAGCATCAGCCAGCTCTGCTCGCAGTCCCCTGGGTGGTGGGCAGCCAAACCAGGGGGCACAGCACCCCGTAGGCTGGATTCACCAGGCAAAGTCCACAGAGGGCAACAAACAACTGACCCACCATCTGCCCTTTGGGCAGTCTCCATTTCAAGGCACCAGGTCCTGCCTGTGCTTTCAGGACGACAGATGAAACTTGAGAGGTGGTTATGGCTCCCATCCCACAGAACAGTCCCACCCTTTGGATGCAAAGGCATCCAGCTTCTCACAACACAGAGGAGAGGAACAGAAGGTGAGGTTGAGCACAGCCAAGTTTGCTTCTACAGAAGGATATGGACAATGACACCTGGGGTCAAAAAAGCAGGCAGAAACCCCTATAGAGCAGTGGGGTCCTATGAGAGGTGCTGTAGGACACTAGAGCACCTTCCCCAGCTGAAGAGTAACTTTCTGGAGACACCTGGGCTGATTGTGCATCTCCAGCTCCATGCATCGCCAAACTCATGGGAAACCACAAGCTTTATCCCATCTTTCCAGGTTGTCCCATCTCTCCAGGGCTCAGCTTGTGCTTTAGTGTCTTTTGTTCCTTCTTCCTGTAACTCTGTTCGAGCAGAAAGCTGAGCTAGAGATCTCCAGAGGCCACTTGGCATCCACTCCAGCCACAACCACACTCTGCAGCAGATCCCCCACAACTCCTGAAGCCCACACTTGCATCTCCCAGGATGTAACATACATCTCAGCGCACCAGGTGCCTTCACAGCAACTGAGGTGACACTAAACCATGCAGCAGGCTGAGCTCAGACACAACAGGACAGAAACACACATTTCCTCTAACCCTGAACTCCAAATCCTCAAGGGAGAGCTACAGAGTGCTTTTAAGATGAGCCCAGAAACCTATTCATAGCTCTACTTGACACCAAAGTTATGGATAACTCAATGACTTGTGGTGGTACATCATGCCTCCTGTTCCCTCACCAGGCTTCTGCATGCTCCACAGCCTAAAAGTACTCAACCCATCTCATCAGACACAGTTTCCCCTGATAATTGCACAATTTCAGCTCACACACTTGAAGAAAAAACCCCACACTCTAAGGTCCTACCTATAGTCACCAATCTTTCTGCCCTAGATACTTGCCACTTTGTTCCAGGCTTCAAAAAAACAAACCAAATTTGTATATCAGAAAGCATTTATTTTTCCCAACTGTACTAGCTTATTCAAAGCCACCTCCTCCAGCACCTCCAGACCTCACCGCATTCAAGTCCTTGGACCGTCACGCCTGCAGTGCCAACTGGCACAGGACAACACCGGTGATGACCCCGGCCCAAGACCCCTGTCCGTCCCATCACCCATTAAGTTACACCCATTTCCTGAAGCGTTAAGTCAGACTGTTTTGAGTAACCCTCGCTATTTCATTTATCTTGCCCCAGAGAGAAAACGAGGCAGGGGTAGTATCAGAGAGCAGTCAGAGCAGGGATAAGGAATGACTGAGTGCTTCTGGCTTTGGGGTAAGTGGGGAATCCTAAAGGTGGAGGGGGTGAATGATACCTACAGTCCAGGGCAGAAGCACAGCAAAGTTCAAGATGCACAACTAAAACCAATCAAGACAACATGCTTAATTACTCTCCAGAACCAGGAGCCAAGTACTGCTGTAGGATGCTGTGGGGACCAAGTACACCAAGTTGAAGAGAGACAGCCAGCCTCTGACTCCTTCCCTGTGGAGAAGAAACGGTACCAGAAAGGGGGGGCTCTGGCTCCAGGGGGTTTCAGGATGCAGCTGAACAAAACCACACCACCCAGATTTGGTGCTGAGACAGACTTTATTGCATTTAAATAAAGGTCCACACAAGCACACCCCAATCTGCTCCGTAACTTCAAACAGCTACAGCCATAGCCAAGGGAAGCACCACTCCACAGTGGCCAACCTCTCATTCTGTTCCAGCCTCACACCAAAACAGAATATGTTCCCATCCGCACTAGCACTGGTAGCTCAGGTATTTGCAGGAGGGCTGAGCTGAGACATGCTGCTCATCCCAAACTCAAGACCAAGCTGTTTCTACCGCAGACGACACCATGCCAGCAGTACCCCTCTACTTCGCAAAGATGCTTAAAAGCAATGGAAGGTGGGAAGAAGGAAAAAAAACCCACACATTTACAGTATGTGTCCCTACAAGCCAACTCAATGAAGAGCCTCTGCAGAGCCTGGATTCTGTGGATGCCAGCTCTGTGCTTCTGCAGTTTCCTACACAGACCCCCCGAGCCAGCCCCCCCTGGGGCAGCCACACCACCCCAGCTCCGGAAGCCTCCACCGCAGCCAGGCTGGTGCAGGGCTGGGCAGTACAGCCTCCCTCCTAAGCCTCACCTGCCCCTCGCCAGTCCGCAGGGAAGTGCCTGGGCACCCCATAATACTCCCTTACTAGGGAGCATTAAATCAGTAATTATGTGACACGTCAGGGTGAGCAAGCACCAGAGACATCTGCATCTCCCAAGCGCTGCAGGCTGGGCGATCGTCTCAGAGAACCCACAGGTGCTCAACACCCAAAACCAAACTGAAGTCTTCAGAAGTCACTCGTGTCTTCATTAACTAGAAGTAACAAGAGAAGTAAGCCCAAAGAGGTGGTTAACAGCTCTCCTGTGGCAGGAAAGAAGAAACCACACACTTCCCAGGTATGCACAGGCTTATCGTGCAAGGCAACAACCCAAACTTCCCTTCCAGCCCTCTGACTCAAAACCAGTCGGTTACTGCAGTAAAAACACCACTGCCGCAAGGACAAGTCAGTTCCAGTCATTTATTCATTGCAGCATTTGAAGCACACCAGGTACTTGGTGAAGCTCCCTAGATAGACCACAGGAAGAATACTTGGTACAGTAGAGTGATATAAAAAGAGAATGTTAAATAGATAAGACAACAAGGTAACCTCTCATTCTTGCTACAAACAAGCAGACTAGCCCTGAGCCCAGGTTAACATCAACGGCTTCGGTCTTTCCAGCCAGTTGTGGTTAGAACCTTTATGGCCCCATACCGAGAGGACAGCAAAGCACCTGTCCTCACAGTTCAGGCAAGGGGTGTGCTTCTCAAGCCAGCTCTTCAGGAGCTTGGCTTCAGCTGCTACGCAGAGCCGGACTTCCAGTGAGGTTCAGTCTTGTTGAGCACACCTGGAAAGTCAGCCACAGCTTTGATGTACAAGTGTAAGAGCAGCTCTTCTGAAGATGGAGCCTTCAAGTACTTCAGGATGAGCCACAGGTAATGCATCCGAGCCACCGAGAAAGACTGGTAAAGCCAAGATGCAGGGCAGCACCCTACTAAGCCGCACTAAGCCAGATTTAAACCCCATGTTTTGAGGTTGTTCCTGAACTGTGCACAGTTCAGTCATGCTTTTGTGAGACACTGTTTTGTAACTGTAAGACCTTCTCCACCCACACCAGGTCTCCAGCTTTATGCCAGAAAAAAAGACTCACATCCCAAAAAGACTAAGTATTTCTCGTCAGTTTTCACATTTCCATTTTCAGGAACTGCTCACCTTCTGTCAAGGAGGAAGATGGGGTCTGAAGCCGTATGCCTGCAGAACGGCAGGCAACACAAGCAGCACCAGAATGAAGAAAGCTTATGTTACTGATACTAGGCTGTTATTCCACCGAGACTGGCTTTACTTAATCTAGGAGATCACTGTATCTCTCTAGAGCCTCCTTCTCCAGTTCCAACAGCTTTTGGTAAAGTTTCTCAGCAGTTTCTTCATCCACATCAATCTGGAAGACAGTAAGAACAGCACTGTGAGGCCATCACCTTGGTGGCAGCCAGCACAGATCCTCAAGGCAGCTCTAGGGATAGGCAAGGTGTATCACCAGAGCTTCTACACTCAGAGAGACAATTAAAGGCATCTATCACCAGGGCACAAGCCAGAACATATTTTGGGGAAGCATCATTACACACTCATCCTGTTCTAGCCAACATCCTCACTGTTTTCCAGACTCCAGCCTGAGCCAGGAGTTACTCTAGGAAACCTTGCAGATAACCCCACATCCCTCCTTGCTCCTCAGCATTCAACACGCATCTTGCCTCCACTTCAGCCACAGGACACCCTTGGCACTAACCCTTCCAGGCAAGGTAGACAGCAGACTCCTAGCCAAGTCCCCCGCTGCCGCTCCATTTACCTTTCTGGGCTCCACATAGCTCTTCCCCAGTCCAGAAGTACAGCTGTGGTATTTGACAAGCGCATCCAGGCACTCTGGCTTCTGTTTGAAGAGCCACACCTAGGAAGAACAGCACAAACATGTACGAGTAGCGCACAGTCCCAACCAAGCCTGCAGTCAAGGACCCAACTGCCAACAGACACATGAGAACACATCACAGGTGCTTTCACCAAATAGGGGAAAACTTGATATCTAGAAAAGTTCTGAGCTAGTTCCCCTCAGCTGTGACCTACCTGAGCCAATGCTAAACCATGTTTGAGTCCCAGTGCTAAACCACTAAAGCAGTTCAACATGGCTAAACTTGCTCACTACCATGCTTGAGACACATCGTGCCCTGCCTTACCCACCTCCGTCCCCTATGCCTGCACGTCTAGGGCTGACTGACTGTCAACATGGAGAACAGCATTCTCCTCAACCGAGATAGAAGGAATAGTGTTTTTCGAAAATCATTTATTTTATGGGTGCCTGATGAAGGTCATAAAGCATCACCTGGCAGATCAGCCCTGGTCACAGCTGGGCCCCCACTGTTCAGGGGTGAAACACAGCACCCACCCACCCAGCTGAGAGGCTCTTTGTCCAAGCCAGCAGACCCTGGAAAAGCTACCCAGAAGGAAGGAATATTAAAAACAAGTTGTGAACTACTTACATGAGCTTCTGCTCCATTATACGGTGTCAGAGTATAAGTTTTAGCAAAAAAACGGATCTGAGGGGAAGAAAAGTATATTACAGAATCTGTATTGTGGCCCAAGGTTTCTTTGGAAGGTCCTCCACAGCCTCGCCACACCAGATAATCTACCATGGGTAGAAGCGCTTCTCAAAGTTAACTATAGGTAACACCGCACACTTATGACTAAAGCATCCTTTTACCATCACAAACTATTTTCTGGAGCCACCCGCCAGTTCAACAAGCCTTGTTCCACGCTCTCACACAGGGCTCACCCCCAAAGCCAGAGGCAATGACCCACACATATGCCTTGCAGGCACCTCTTCTGGAATGGTCTCCAGAGCATATATAGCAGGAGGCAGAGAGGACCCGCAGTACTGCCGGCGTTGAGGACAATCGAGAAGGCATCGCCTCTCCACTGCCCGGGGAAATGTGATCTGTCAGGATCAGCCGCTGCCAGCTGGGGCAGCTTCGGCAGGAAGGCCAATCTTGCAGCAAAGGCATCAAGGCTCAGAGCAGCCTTCAGGGACAGAACTGTAGCGAACCTGAAAAGCTGAAGCCCAGAGGAAGAAAGGCAAGGAAAGTTTTGGGGAAGTAGGGGTAGAGACAATAGAGAGCAGGAGACTTTGCTTTCCAGAGGGATGGAAAGAAGAGAGCAGGATGCACTGCCTTCTAAGGGACAGAAAGGATGATAGGTTTTCACAAGCCCACACACAACAGGCTGCCAAACCTTCCAAGGGGAGTCTTGACTAACACGGCTATGGCTGAAGGGCTGAACCCTGCCTCTCCAGGTACAGTGCCGGCCAGCACCGAATCTCCAGACTCAGCCTGGAAATTGGGGCCCCAAGGTCCCAAAGGGAAGGTTTGTGGAGGGGCCTGCTTGCCCAGTCCAACAGAAGGAAGAGCGATATAGCAGCATGGGTAGCAAGGAGCCAGAGGCATGCTGCACATCACTTGCGGTGAAGTACACTGCAGCAGGGCTACCTTAACCCAAAACCATCCAGGAGATCCACTTACCAACCACATGATGGGCATCAGCAGCTTCCACAGGAAAACTGGCAAAATTCTGTAGGTCATGTTAGTCATAACGAGACCAGGACACACAACGCTGGAATACAGACCCTGCAGAGAAGAAACCGAGTCAGTGTGCAATTACACAACAGTTGGTTTAAGAACGGACCATACTTCTTCCCTCCTAGTACTTCTCAGTGAGAAAATGAAGGCGAGTATAGAGACCAGTTAAAAGTAGATACTCTCCTCTCTAGAGTCAGAGAGTGATTAGGTGTAATGCTTTTCAAGAGGTTCAAATTGGAGAAGTTCATGTTAAATCTGCGCCCACTGCAAGCCCATGAAACAGAAGGCACAGCCCCCCCCCACATCACAACCTCACGCTGCAGTCTCCATGCAGCTCAGCAGCGGCCATCCCACAAGTTACAGCCCGCTCCGACCAAAGGCTGCCTCACCTTTAAGAGATACCAGTTCAGCCTTCTAGGATGAAAACATTTTCTCCTGAATTATTTCAAAAGAGTGCAACCACTATCACTAGCCTAGGGCTGTGGCTTGGCAACAAAACCTGGCAATGCCCCCCAACAGGGAAGGCGGGTTGCTCATACACCTTAGTATGACAAACTTGAACAGCCGCACGGAGCCATCAGGACAGACAGCAGAGCCCACACCTCGAGTGTTCGCAGGCAAAGCTGCCAGAGCAGCCCTGTTCCGATAGGCAGGGACACCTGAAAACAGACGGAGCTTCTTTGCTCTTTAAGACCAATTCTTTGGTCTAAAGAGACAGCTAGAGCTTGCAAGGCAGGGACTGCTCCTAAAATCTTCTGCTTTCAGAATTTTTTTTTCCTGACAAGAACCCCAGAATCCATCCCTCTGGCAGGTTCTCCACCACCCACACCACCAGTTCAGCCTCGGCCGTGTTTAGCTCTTACATGCGCATTCAGGAACATATCAGATTGCTATGAATGAACGCAACTAGGTAACAACAATGTAATGATAATTGTAAGTAGTTGAAGCTCATTAGATTTCTTCAGACATACAAACGCCATCATCACCTGCTTATTAAATTTCCTGTTCAGAACCACACTTGTGAGGTCAGTAGCATATTTGGAGGAACTGTATGATTCTCGCCCCTTGGCATGCTGATAGTCAGAGAGGCTGAAGGCAGACTCCCTGGCATTGCTGGAAGAGGTCCAGATGAGTCGCGAGGGCTTTTCGTTACCGCAGAGTAGAGACTCAAGTTGACGAACCTGCAAAAGAATTGTTAGCTCGTTCAACACAGTAATTTTCAAGTCCTATGGTATAGCTTTACAGTTCTTAAAAGCTGCCAGCTTTCTTGGCCTGTCTTCACTAGGCTACCCGCCGCTCAGGTATGACTTCAGCCCAAGGTCCACCAGGAGCATTTACAAGCAGCTGCCATTCTCTTGCACAGCTCAGTTGAGAACCTCAGAGTTTAATACAGCCAAGCCTTGGTATTCACCCTGGACACAGAGAACTACATATGGTTTACCTCTGCCCACTGGCTAACCAGAGTAACCTCAAAATTACATTAACCTTTGCAACAACTATCATCATTTACTGCTATTTAAACAAAGCCCAAGACCTTTGCCCTAACATCCCTTATCTGTCCGGCTACAGCCTGCATCAGCATCCGAACTGGTAAGACAGAACTAACTCATCAGTACCACCTGTACCCACCCCTACCCACATCAACCACCAGACTGAGGGCTTGATCTTCATGCACAGCCTCACCAGAATAAAGTGTCCAAAGAGGTTGGTAGCAAACACCTCCTGAAGTCCATCTCCATTCAGCCTGTCCGTCTGCGTCATTAGGCCTTCCGCAGTGGTCAGCATGTGAAGCACCTTCCTGGAAGCCAAGGACAGGAGTTAGAGAGGAATGCTGCAGGGAGGCATCTACTCCTCCCCTGCTTCAGTCCTTCACAAGAACCCCCCACCTCACAGGCTCCAGACAGACTCTCTAGTTTCACCTCCAAGGGCTCTTATTAACCCATGAAAAAAAATGGCTGGAAAAAGTTTACAGAGTATCTCAGCCCCTTTATTTGCCAGTGCCTCAATATTGGCTAGATCAGAGAAGACGTGTCCCTTCCTTCACTTCACCACAGTAAAGTACCATTAAAAAAAAGTCTTGCTCTTCCATTTCACATTTGGAGAATAAAGTGTGAAACTAAGCCCTAGGGCCAAGCCTAATGCAGATAAGGAAAGCAGTCCAGTATCTATGTTCAGCACCACAAGCACTGCAGTAGACTCAATGCAAGCCACTTTGCTCCCTAACTCAACTTGCCCACATTGCTTATAGAATAGTGACACTTACAGAATAGGTATCAACTATTACCTTCACAACATACTGTGATCCACAGCTGAGAACAACTACAAAAGCCTCCAACAGAGCCACCACAAGCAAACCACCTCCCCAACAACACACCAGTGCTTTTCACCCAGCCCCCGGTGCTAAGCACCACAGGCTTTGGATGAACCCTTGCCCTACCCGGGCACACAGCGGGCCCCACACCAGGGATCAGAAGCAGCACAGGGTGCCTCAGCACACCTCAGCACTTCACCCAGCTCCCAAGCCCACCCCACACAAGGCCAGGCAGCCCTCAGGGATGTGCTCCGTGTCACACGGGGGGATGGGGATAGGGTCTTCAGCCACGGACACAAGGGCATGCCTTGGCCATGAAGATGCTGCCAGCACCCCATGCTCCCTGCAAGCCACGGACCAGCCCCACCAACATCTCCTACCTGGTGAGGAGACCATGCCAGAGTGCCTTGAAGTTCACGTGTGGGTTGGGCATGATCCCAGCGTTAAGGTAGACAAAGTCCAGGTGCTGGAACCTGCGTGGGGAAGAGCACAGGGGTGAGGGGTGGAGGGTGGACAGGGGGGGTCTGGTGGGGTGGAGGACGGAGA